TCTTGTACATGAGAATGAAATTTACAAAGCTTTACATCACTAGTGGTTTTATCCCTCCACTGGCTGCCAATCACTTTCCAGGCACAGTACAAGGTGTTGGTTTTGACCTTTAAAGCCCTACATGGCTTGGGTCCATCTTATCTTAGGGACAGCTTTTCCCCATATGATCCCCCCCACGCCCTTCGGTCCTCTGGGAGGAATCTGTTACAGCCAATAAAAACTAGGCTGTCTCAGACCTCCCAGAGGGCCTTTTCCGCAACCACTCCCAGACTTTGGAATGGTCTGCCGGACGAGATCCGTCTTATTACTACTCTTGCTGCTTTTAAGAAAGCAGTAAAGACGGATCTCTTTTGGCAGGCCTTCCCGGAATAACTGTGGGCTTGGAGATGAGTCCCTGATTTGTTGGCTGATTCTTTTACTTATTTTGATGTTTTACTTTGCTAATATTGTATTTTAACTGATCTTCTGTTTAATTCTATTTTAAGGGGAAGGGAGGGTGGGAGTACGGGATGAGAGAATGTTTTAACTTTGTGTTATTTTAATTATTTTTGTACCCCTCCCCGATTGCCTTGCAGAGGGGTGGGCTATAAATAAAAATGTATTATTATTATTATTATTATTATTATTATTATTATTATTATTATTATTCCCTAATCCTGGAGAACTGCTGGAGGTTCAAGAGAAACAGCTAGCAAATTGCTGCTACTGCCCCAGTATTGCTGCCTGATGTAGTCAACTCACTCTGATTAACAATAAAGCCTTAACTGGATGTTACATTTCCTGGCTACTAGTTGTTGTGACATGAGCCTCATCTGCACTGCAGAAAAATGCAGTTTGACATCACTTTAGCTGCCATGACTCAATGCTATGGAATTTTGGGATTTGTAGTTTCATGAAACATTTAGCCTTCTCAGTTAGAGAGAAGAAAAGAGAGAGAGCTCTGGTGCCACAACAAACTCACACATCCCAGGATTCCACAGCACTGAATCATGGCAGTTAAAGTGGCATGAAACATCATTGTTTTTACAGTGTGATGAGGCCATAATTGTATTATAGCTTGGATGTAATCTAATATAATAATAATACAGGCAAAATAAGGACTGCCATGTTTGATGTTTGTCCAGCAAATTTCAATAGGCTAAGAAACATTAAAGATGGCCCATTAGTGGTATCTCTTGTAATTTCATGGGAAGATGCAAAACTATCTTTGGGTAACTCAAGTATTGGTTCTTCTAGCTCAGTGCTGTCTGCACTGGTTGGTGGTAACTCTGCAGGGTTTCAGACAAGAGTTTTCACCTGGAGATGCTGGGAACTGAACCTTGTTCCCTTTGCATGCACTCTGCTCCTGAGCCATAGCCCTCCCCCAACTCCCCCACCCCAAACCATGAAAGATTTCAGAAATATCTCTTTCTAAGGAAGATGATTGCTCCCCTAAACCATCTGACAATTTAAAGTGGAATTTGTACCTTGGGCAATGATCTCAGTAGCCTTTTTTCTGAACATTACAGTTCTAAAGGAAGCCAACCTGCAAAGGAAAAATGGATGGGGAAAGGGCTTATTGTAGTTAATGAGATTCTTCACCAAAACTCTAATCTGGGTTAAAACTAAAAGAACACTGATAAGGATATTACATCTCACACTGAGAACAAGGAAGGTGCATGGCTCAGATCAATTGTAGCTATTAGGAGGTATGCTTTAATGGTTCTTTTTCATATCTATCAAAATGGATGTTTGAGACAAAGCCTTTCAGATGGTGAGTGGGTAAAATAGAATGAAACATATCTTTCTTTCTTCTTTTTTAAAATAATGTTACTTTTTTTCTAAAAAAAAATGATACCAGGTACAAATCAACCAATATTAGCAGAAGTTTAACATCACTTTAAAAGAAAGAGATTGACCTACTGAGAAAGTACATGAGTAAATGTGTAGCAATACACTGATTATTACTGTTTCCCCTCAGGCAAATACCTCTCTCTTAAGCATAAGCTGCACTGGAACATTTTGTTTTATTACCTTGTGAGATAAGTGAGGGAAAAAGCCTTTAGTACCTGGGGAATTTTTTTTTAAAAAAAATCAGACTTGTCATATCAGTGTCTGCTCTCAATTTCATGCCGGGCGCATAATTATAACGGTGTTTAAATTGAGCCCAGAAGAAAGATGGGTTCAAGTGCAAATTAATTTTAGATTATCACAACAAAGGCAATCAAATCTCAACAAGCTTGCCAGCAAAATACTTTGCAAAGGTCCCCAGGTCCCTTCCCTCCCCCAACTTACAACAAAGACCTTTCAGCTCAAATTAAGCTAATGATCTAATGTAACACTTCTGCCTACCTTTCAGAGTTTTGTTATTGATTTGGATTTAATGTAGCACAGTGGCAATAGGGGAGGAGAAGAGAGGATGGGTACAGGGGAGGGGGGTATCAGTATTTAATATCAGCAAAGTGACAAAATAAACAGTCAACAGGCCTGACAAGATCTGTGTGGTGTCAGATTGTCTTAGCCGGTAGGAACTATCAGACTGAATTGACAGTACTGAAAAAGCCTTGAACTGAAGTCCTTTTCCTCATCCAGGCAGAATCCAAAACCAAATAGTAACATTCACCTCCTCTACCTATCTATCAGCACAGCTTTTATAGAAATCCAACATCTTACTCTATCCTATGGGAACCTGCTGGGGGAATGAAGGGAATCAAGTAATGAGAAGGGGGGGGGATATCAAGTCAAGCCTCATTACCTCCTCATTACCTTTGCAAAAGTAGAGTGAGAGAAAATTTTATCTAGGGAACACAAGCTTGGGAATCTCATTGAGAGTTCTGTCTGGTTATTGCACAGCCAAGCATGGAGAGCCTGCCTCTGTGGGATTAAAGTTTTCTCCCCATTCCTCTTTAGTAATGATCTGCTCATTAAGGTTTTTAAGGGAAATTACCATCACTTATCATTATGCCAGTCACTCAGTAAAGCAGCATTAAACTAGAAGTGTCAGTTGAAACCTCCATTTATTTATTTACTTATTTATTGCTTTTCTTTCTTTCTGACAGTCATGTGCAAATATTTTGAAGTTGAGTATTGTGCTTGTTGATTTTTTAAAAAATAGTAATAATAATTCCAGGCTCATATATATGTAATTTTTGCCTGCCAAGTATTTTGTTACATACCCTAAGGTTAGACACACTAGATAAAATACAAAATGTGTTTGGGAAAGAAATATATTAGATTACATCCTTCTGAAATAAATCCCTAGAATGTTATTGCTATGATGCATAGTGCATTTTTATAACTGCTGATTGTCTAAGGATTTTAAGCATCGCTAAAGTATCAGAGGGCTATTTATTTTACAAAGACATGCTTTTTAATTACTGCAAGCTGCTTGAATTTAACTGTTTCTCATCATTCAGAAGGGGAAAATTTATCTTCACTTTTTTGAGACGCTTTGGAAAACCTTAGTGACCCTCACCACTTTCTTTTCCAGAAAGCATGTTTGCATTGATCAGAAAGAAAAGCTTCCTTGGCCTTTGGATCCTGTTCTTTTGAAGAGGATTGTAATAAAGTGTGCTTCATTTAAAAATGGTTTAAATCTAAGTCTTGTAATACACAAGTGTTAGATTTTTCAGGATATCTTACTTGGTTTTGTTTAAAATTAATTCAATACAATCTTTATTCTCTTGTATCTTTCAATAGATTTGTATTAGCACATTGTTTTGACCGACTTGTTTAGAGGGCAGACTTGCATTCCTTATGAGCTGTGTTTAGCTTGGCAGGTCACAAGACCTGCCAGCTATATCTGGAGAGGCCAAGTCAGTTGCAGGAGCTAAATGTAGAATATGTGTCATTTTGTGGAAAGGGCAGCCAAAAAGACAACCACTTTATTTCATTTTTGTTTCCAGCAGGGGGAGCTATGACAGGCCATAGGTTTTCTGCTGAAAAAGACTCATGTTCTTTCCTTTGTCTCCTTCCAACCCATTGTACCAGAACATCTGCCTCTTAGAATGCACAGCTATGAAAGCAAATCTTGCCTGCTCAGATATGTGAAAGAGTTCTGTTACCATGTTGCATCAACATGTCCTGCTGAATTAATTTCTAATTCTTTTTAAATAAAGTTAAAGAGAGAGTGTATATTGTTTGTATGCTTGCAGGAAGAATATGTTATTTATTTGTTGTTGTTTCCTTCAAGTTGTTTATTACTTATGGCAAACCTACAGCAAGATTTGATTTGAAGGGCTTTGCCATTGACTTCCTCTGAGACAGAGAGTGTGACTTGTTCAAGGTCACCCAGTGGGTTTCCATGGCCAAGTGAGAATTTGAACTCTGGCCTCCAAGAGCCCTAGTGCAGCACTGAAACCACCATACCATACTGGCTCTTTTTTATATCTAGGAATATAGTCTTGAATGTAAGGAGAACCAGAGTGGTGTAGTGGTTTGAGCATCAGACTACAATTCTGGACACCAGGGTTCAAATCCCTGCTAAGCAATGGAAACTTACTGAGTGAACTTGAGCAAGTCAAACTTTGTTAGCATCAGAAGGAGCCAAAAGCAAACTACTTCTAAACAAATCTTGCCAAGAAAACCCCATGATAGGTTCATTGCTAACACAGGGAGGTATAATTTGGCCCTCCTTGTGTAACCCTATCACCTAGTAAACCCTATGATGAGACACCCCAAGTTAGACACAGGCAGGATCAGAGCATTAACAGAAAGGGAAGGAGAGAGAGATAAAGGAATATCACATTTGCAAGATTAGCCTAGGACATAAGAAAGATAACAAGACAAATAGCAGATACCCTTAGAAAGGCAAATAGCATCCAAAGCAGCATTACACATAAGATAGCCATGTGGAATGTGAGGAGCATGAGCCAAGGGAAGCTAGACATAGTAAAAATGGAAATGCAACACATGAATATAGCAGGGGATGAGTGAGTTAAAATGGACAGGAATGGGCCACTTTGAATCAAACAACCATACAATGTTTTACTCAGACAATGAAAAGACAAGAAGAAATTGGGTGGCTTTCATAGTAAGAAGAGATGTGCCAAAAGCAGTCAGAGGACACAATGCAAAATCAGACCGAATCATTTCAGTAAGGCTCCATGGTAAACTTATGAATATTACCATAATTCAAGTATATGCACCAACCACAGAGGCAGAACAGGAAGAAATTGATAGATGCTATGAAGGAGTACAGGAAGAAATTGACAGCACATCAACACAGGATGTCAAGCTGATCATTGGAGATTGGAATGCAAAAGTTGGAAGCAAAAAAGAATAAAAAAAGTAGGCAGATTTGGAATAGGCAAAAGAAATGAAGCAGGTGAATATCTGATAGATTTTTGTGAAGCCAACAACCCATTCATTGCAAACACATTTTTCATACAACCAGAGAGAAGGCTATACACATGGATATCACCAGATGGTCAGCACAAAAATCAAATAGATTATATAATTGGAAGAAAAAGATGGCAGAACTCTATACTGGTGGCCAAGACTAGACCAGGCACT